CAGTCCAAATAGTATCATTTTGAAGTACTCGTCAAGTTCTATCATATCTAATTTAGTTGATTTGAAAATAGTGATCCCAAAAGAAACTATGGTCGATCCCGCGGAAGGCCCGATCACAAGTATGCTGAAAGGCTATACAGACTAAAAATGTGAGGAAATTTGTCATATATTCATTCGATTTTAGTATTTATTTTTAATAAATTAAATTATTATTATGAAGTATGTGTTCCTGTTTTTTTGGGAAAAAAACATTTGAATTTTTTTTTTGAAATTCGAAAATTCTGGAATCCTTAGAAGTTTGTATGACAATTCAAATCACTTTGTACACTATACCAATACAGTACACAACATTCTGAAAGTGTGGTTTTCAGTCAAATAAAATTTCAGGCAAAAAGAGTGCTTTTTTGAAACATCAAAACATTTTTTTTTCATTTTTTCATGATTTCTGAAATTAATCCCAAATAAAAATCATCTTCATTCGTCATAGGATTCTAGAAAAATCATCAAATCCGTTTGAAAAGTTTGACAACTTTTTGATCTGATTGGTTTTCAAAAATTTAGAATTCTTAGAAAAATTTTAAAAAATAGATTTTCAGAAAATTCCAGCCAAAAATATAAATATTTTTTTTTGTGGTGACTGGAAAATAACAATTTGCTGAAAATAGAAAAAAATCAGAGGAATATACAAAAAATTACGGACAACAAAAAAATCCGAATTCCAAAATTTTGGCCCCTGACCACCCGGACAGTCCACTTTGAGCCTATATATCTCACTTCTTTTGAAAGATGTCAAAAAGTTGTCAACTGATAAAATGTTTATCATGATGTCAGCTACATTTTATTAGTTAACTACTTTTTAATAACTTTTATAGAAAATGAGATACATGGGCTCAATTTTGACCCTCTGAAATTACAGTCAGAGTTTTAATTTTTGATTCTAAACAAACTTTGTGCTCATTTTTTGTGCTCACTTTCTAGTTTTTGGTTCCAGACAACACAAAATTGAATGCACCTGGTCCATGGGGTATAGAAAAATATAACCTTATGCGTAATTCACACTTTCATTATATTTCTCTGAAAATATTTTCAGCACATAACAAAAAAGGTCAATTTTTGTGTCCAAGACAATTCTATTGGGTATTTTTGTGAATCATGAAAAAACCTGAAGATTCTGGAGACGTTTTTCGGCTGTTTAGAACAAAACATTTTTTTTGGGGGAAAGTAGACCCCCATGGCTCCATCCGTCCCACCAGGAGACATCCAGACCCAACCAGATCATCTTCAACGCTCCGTACACCTACCACGCTCCGTACACCTAGCACACCTACCACATCAAGGTGATCAACTCCTCTGCTCGTCGCATCGGACATGACATCAATTCAACCAAGAGACTCGGAGTTGACCAACCATGTGGAGTTCTCCATACTTGCGACCGGACCTTTGCCGGGCCTTTCGCGGATCTTGCTATAGTTTCTTTCAGAACAACTATTTTTGGACCAACTAAAACAGATATGATAGAACTCTGCGAGTTCTACAAAATGACTCTAAAAGGAATACTGTGTCTTGTCTATGAACAAAGTTACAAGTCATAAAGTGGCCGGGCCGGGACTCTGTTTTTGTCTGTAATTTTGTTATTAGACCCCACCAATATTAGACCCCATCAATATGATAAAACGACGTGTCCCTTGTTTGTACACCGCTTGAAATAACACAGTTTGAAACCGGCCAATCAAAAATGACGCGAACTTTCTGAACAACCTAATACTTGCGACCGGGACTTCGCCGGGCCTTCTATAGTTTCTTTCAGAACCAATATTTTTGAACTAGCTAAATCAGATATGATAGCACTAGACAAGTACTACAAAATGATACTACTTGGAATACTGTATGTTGTCTATGAACAAAGTTACAAACACAAAACTGAGACCCTGCCATTTTATGACTTGTAATTTTGTTCATAGACAAGATACAGTAGTCCAAATAGTATCATTTTGAAGTACTCGTCAAGTTCTATCATATGCTATTTAGTTGGTCTAAACATATCGATTTTAAAAGAAACTATGGCAGATCCCGCGAAAGTCCAGCAAAGGCCCTGTCGTCAAGTATGGAGTTGACCGACCCAACGGAAGCTATCCTTCTCGCTGTCTTCTGCGATGCTTTCGCCTTCGATCAAGTGGACCAAGACCCCAGACGACGCCGCCAAGCAGTTCCGTCAGGAATGCTTCCAGGGAACCTTAGAATTTCAAAAGCATATACCGTAAAACCTGTATTAGAAGGACCTCTTTAATAGAAGAGCCCTTCTGATAGGAGAGCCCTCCGGGAGGGGCTTGGAATAATTGAAGGGCCCCCCCTCTAATTGAAGGGCCCCTGCAATAAAAGGGCCCTTGAAACAATAGACGGGCCGACCCTTCTAATACAGGTTTTCCGGTAGTTTTTTCTTTGAAGTTTCAACGATCTCAATTTTTCGTATTTTCAGAACATTCAGTTTTTGGAACCACTTTTTCTATGAAAAACATGTAATTTAGAAAATTCCAAAATTTCCAAAACCAATTCTGAAATTTTTTCTGAAAATCCTATCTGAAAATTATTGTTTTATTCTAGAAGTGCAATTCAAAAAAACAAGAATTTTATTCAAAAAAGATAACTGAAAGGCATAGCTTGAAGAGGGACGGAAAATAATCTGAAATTCAAACAAAAAACCCCGAAAATTAGAAGATTTATCGATTTTCATCGAGTTTCACCAGAATTTCCAGGGACAAAATGCTCTCTTTTTTGTCAATGATTTTCCCCTGGATTTCCATGATTTTTTGGCGATGGCTGTGCTAAAAAAAGTTTATGCTGAAATTTTTCAAAAAATTGAAAAAAAATTTCTTGTTTCACTTCTTTTTTAAATTTAAAATTCGTATATTTTAAGCCAAATTCCAGAATTTAGAGCTCTAAAATTTTAGATTCTTTCAAAATTCTCACAATGCTTTCTTCAGTTATCCGAAGACTCTCCAGAAAGTGATCCTCGTCTTCTGAGTCCTCTTGATCCGTCCGATTCATTATTGACGATCGTTTCTTGACGGCGTCGGCGAATCTGAGCTCTTCGTGCTCCTGAAAATATCAAAATCTAGAGTTTCAGAGTCATTTATAGCCAAAAAAAATAAAAATTGAGTGAGAATGAAAAAAGTTATGGGAATTTGAAATATCGAGATTTTTAGAATTTTTATCATTTCTGGAAAATTTTTTTGAATTTCAAAATTTTAAATATATTGAAATTTTGAAATTTAAAAATTTAGAATGTTAGAGTCTTTTTAAGCCAAAAAATGAAAAAAGTTATGGGAATTGGAAATTTCGAGATTTTCCGAAAAAAATTGTTGTTTTGAACTTTTTTTGTCAAAATTTCGAAACCTTGGACATGTTAAATTTTAAAAATTATTAAAATCTGAAATATCAGAGTCATTTTAAGCCAAAAATCTTGAAAATCCGTTGAAAATGAAAAAAGTTATGGAAATTTGAAATTTCGAGATTTTTAGAATTTTTATCTATTCTTGAATTTTTTTTTCAAATTTTAAAATCTCGAAACAGAAAGAATTTTTTTGGAAACTTTTTAAATCTGAAAATATAAAACTTCAGGGTTATTTTTTAGCCAAAAATCTGGAAAATCGGTTAAAAATGAAAAAAGTTATGGGAATTTGAAATTTTGGGAATTTTTTTTTCAAAAAATTTTTTTTTTGATTTTCCTAAATTTCTGAATTTCAGATTCTGACTGAAATTTAGACTTACCAAGTTGGCCTGTAAATCTCTCAATTCCTCTCTCAAATCCACCAAATCATGAAGTCGTTGTCGTCGTTCCATTGTTCCCGAACGTCCACAATCAATTGACATGTTTTTGCGAATTTTGAGGAATCTGGAAAGGCGGGAATTTGAAAATTTGAAAATTTCGAGAAAAAAAAATCGGGAAATTGACAAAATTTCGGAAGAAATTTTTTTGTAAAATTTACATTTTTTTAGAAAATTTGAGTTTCAAACTTTTTCAATTTTTTAGATTTTTTCGTTAAGAAGTTCGAGATTTTTGACACTTTCACTCGGAATAAATATTTGAAAACACATTTTTTGTTGAAAAAAGACAAAAAAAAGAAGGAAAAAAAAGAAGGGAATCAAATAAAATAAAATGGGCAAAGAATGAAAATAAAATTGGAAAAAAGAGGAATTTGAATGTGCAAAAAAAAGATGTGTAGGAACTTTTTTTTAGAAAAAAACGAAAATCAGAGAACAGAAAATTCCCATAACTTTTTTAATTTCCAACCGATTTTTAAAGTTTTTGGCTTAAAATGATCTGAAAAATCTAGATTTTGATAATTTCAAAAAAATTAGTATGTTTAAGATTTCGAAATTTTGAAATCAAATTTTCAAAAATTGATGAAAATTCCAAAAATTCAAAAGATTCAATTTCTCATAACATTTTCAAAATTTTTGACTTAAAATGACTCTGCAATACCTAGATTTTGATAATTTTAAAAAAGTTTTACAGGGCAACTTGGTAAGTCTAAATTTTGGTCAGAATCTGAAATTCAGAAAATTAGGAAAATCAAAAAAAAATTTTTTTGAAAAAAAAATTCCCAAAATTTCAAATTCCCATAACTTTTTTTATTTTTAACAGATTTAAAAACCGATTTCCAGATTTTTGGCTAAAAATAACCCTGAAGTTTTATATTTTCAGATTTAGAAAGTTTCCAAAAAATTCTTTCTGTTTCGAGATTTTAAAATTTGAAAAAAAATTCAAAAATAGATAAAAATTCTAAAAATCTCAAAATTTCAAATTCCCATAACTTTTTTCATTTTCAACGGATTTTCAAGATTTTTGGCTTAAAATGACTCTGATATTTCAGGTTTTAATAATTTTTTAAAATTTCAGCAACTAAATACACTCAAGATATGGAAATTTTGAAAAAAAACGGATAAAAAATGATAAAAATGATAAAAATCTCAAAATTTCAAACTTCCACAACTTTTTTTATTTTCAACGGATTTTCAGGATTTTTGGCTTAAAATGACCCTGAAACTCTAGATATTGATAATTTTTAAAATTTAGCATGTCCCAGGTTTCGAAATTTTGACAATAAAAGTTCAAAAACAACAATTTTTTTTCGGAAAATCTCGAAATTTCCAATTCCCATAACTTGTTTCATTTTTAACGGATTTTCATGATTTTTGGCTTAAAAAGACTCTTACATTCTAAATTTTTTTTAATTTATAAATTTTCAATATATTTAAAACTTTGAAATTCAAAAAAATTTTCCAGAAATGATAAAAATTCTAAGAATCTCGATATTTCAAATTCCCATCTTTTTTCATTCTCACTCAATTTTTAGGATTTTTGGCTTAAAATGACTCTGAAACTTTAGATTTTGATATTTTCAGAAGCACGAAGAGCTCAGATTCGCCGACGCCGTCAAGAAACGATCGTCAATATTGAATCGGACGGATCAAGAGGACTCAGAAGACGAGGATCACTTTCTGGAGAGTCTTCGGATATTTAATATTAAGCGTTGAGAAAAGATTGTCAATATTGAATCAGAAGGATTCAGAAGACCGAGAAGATCTGTTTTTTGAACTTTCACCTCAAAAATGTTATTTAAATCGATTTTCTAAAAAAAAATGTCGCAAGAATTTTTTCTATGATATTTTTGAGCCAAAAAAAAAAGGAGAAAAAAGTCATAAGTTTTGTGCTCATTCGAGCATAAATAACAGATTAGTAGAGAGATTTGTTTACCAAAAAAAATAATTTAGTTCCTTTTTTTCAAGGAAAAAAATATATATATATTAAAAATAGATCATAATTTCAAAAATTCTAGAAATCGAGTTTTAATTTTTTTAGAATTTAAAATACAAGAAAATTGTGAAAAATCGTATTACAGTAAACACTCTAATAGAACGCCACCAGGACCGTAAACTTTCAGCATATATATCTCACTTCTTTTGAGAGATATCAAAAAGTTGTCAACTGATAAAATGTTTATCATGATATCAGCTACATTTTATCAATTGATCACTTTTTGATATCTCTTACAGAAAATGAGATACATGGGCTCAAATTTGACGATGATTCGGGTGACGTTCTATTAGAGTGTCTACGGTATGAGATTTATAATGAAAAAAAGTAAAATTCAAACATTTTTAAAGGATTTCAAAACCTTAAAAATAATAAATTTTTATAAGATTTTTGAACTCATATGAAGGCCTCCAGACGAAAAAGGTAAAAATAATGAAAAGAAAAAACTGGTCACATGGTCCATTCAGATGAGCTCTCCGACTGAGTAAATATTGCTTTTTTCGGGGGGAAAAATGAGGAGGAAAAAGTTTTTCCCCTCTCTTTTTTTTTGAGGAATCAAAAAACAATTTTTTTGCTTTTTTTGAGCATATTTTCCAAAAAAAGGCAATTTTTCTAGTGACCGTAAAACCTGTAATAGAAGAGCTCCCATATCTCAATTCCTGTGGAAGATATCAAAAAGTTGTCAGGTGATAAAATGTAACTGATAAAAAGATAAGTACTTTATCAGTTGACCACTTTTTGATATCTTTTACAGAAAGTGAGATAATTGACTTCAACGACAATAGTAGAGACCTCCCCCCCCCCTACTTTGGAAGGGGGGGGGGGCTTTGCTTTTACCAGCTTTATCTTCATTCCTATGAGAGATATCAAAAATGTGTCAACTAATAAAATGTAGCTGATATCATGATAAACAATTTATCAGTTAAGCACTTTTTAATATCTGTTACAGGAAGTAAGATAATAGAGCTCAAAGTTAAAAGCTGAAAGACGCTACTTCTATGTATGATGGTTTTTTTAAATGTTGATTTTTCCCTTTAAAAATAATAATAAAAGGAAATTTTTGAGTGAAAAAAAACTAAAAATAGAAGAATATTTATACAAAAAAAAAGGAAAAATGGCAAAAACATAAATAGAAAAAGATAGCAATCTAGAAATATCTAGAAGACCTTGGGAAGGGAAATGGCAGAAGATGTCAGAGGAATAAAAAAAGGAAGAAAGAAAGATAAAGTTGGAAAGATTAGAGATAAAAAAGTTTTGAGAATTAGAAATCATTGAAAATTAAGGACTTTTTTTGAAGAAATTGGATTTCTATATTTGCGATCTAGCCCCCCACCCCTTTTGTCAACTTTGATCTAAATTATGTGGGTCCCTGTTAGAGATATCAAAAAGTGATCAACTGATAAAATGTAGCTAATAAAAAGATAAACATTTTATCAGTTGGCCCTATTTTAATATCTCTCACAGAAATCAAGATAATTAAGATCAAAGTCTACCCCACAAATTTCAATGAAAAGCACGAATTTTAAGAAAGAAAAAAGAGCAAAAATTGGTATGCCTCTTCTTTTTATGGTCATATCAGTTATCATTTGTTCATAAATAACCTCCTTTTGTTTCTTTTCTTTTTGATAAATAGAGAATATTCTAGTGATAACAAATAGAGACGCACATGGTTTCACCATGTGACGTCAGCATTTACGCATTTCTTCAATGGTAATTACGTAATTAGAGATTAAAATTTAGGATTTTTTTTTTGAAATGAAAAAGTTGAGTGGTTATGTCAGTGATCAATGAACTGGAAAACTTCAAAAATTTCGAAAAAATAAGCTTTTCAAAATTTTGTGCGAAGTAAAGTTTAAGGATCAAACATCCAAATACTCTATGTTTAGAAGGATTTCTAGGTTTTAGGCCTCCTGAATCCATGTGGTCCATGGAATCCATAGGGTCGATGGGATCCACGGGATCTATGGGGTCCTAGATCCATGGGATCCATGGGGTCCTAGATTCATGGGATCTGTGGGATCCATGGGGTCTTGGATCCATGAGATCCATGGGATTTGTGGGGTTCTGGATTCATGGGATCCATAGGATCCATGTAATCCATGGGATCCATGGGATCCATGGAATCCATGGGATTCATGGGATCCATGGGGTTTTGGATCCATGGAATCCATGGGATCCATGCGGTCCATGAGATCCATGGGATCTATGGGATCCATAGGATTCATGGGATCCATGGGGTCCTAGATCTATGGGATCCATGGGATCCATAGGATTCATGGGATCCATGGGGTCCTAGATCTATGGGATCCATGGGATCCATGGGCTCCATGGGGTCTGTGGGATCCATGGGGTCCTGGATCCATGAGATCCATGAGATCCATGGGGTCCTGGATCAATGGGATCCATTGGATTCATGGGGTCCTCGATCCATGGGATCC